AGGATAACTGAGGGCAAATTAGGGTTTTTTCCAGACCATTTGAGCAAAATTAAGGGTTTATTTTCGACAAATTCAATAGTCTGAGATTCAAGGGATAAAGAATTAGCTTGAGATAGAATAAAATCAGCAGCTTCATAGTAATTGGGGTTTGGTTGAGCAGTGTTAATTCGAAGGTAATCTTGGAATCTGGAAATGATTGATGAAGATGGGTTTTGGGTTGCTGTGATTGAGATGAAGAGAAGAGAGAGAAAATAGAGAATTGAGAAGAGGAAGAAGATGGGTTTTGTTCTTGATTCCATTTTAATGGAGTTTTGAGTGAACTTTGCTTAAGTTTCAGATAGCTGCAGGGGATACAAGTCAACAATAACTATGGATACGCTATGACCAAAACTATAGAATTATAGATGCACACTTGCACAACCTCTATGTTTTAATGTCCCTGTAGTGAAATTTTTTTTTGGGAAAAATTTAATAATTCCATATTTGGGGCTTTTTTTTATAAATAATCCCATCTTTGGGATATTTTTAAATAATTTCAATTTTACTCCTCGATTTTTTTAATGGTCCCAATCGGTCATGTAACCTGTTATAACAAGTTACATGACACGTGGTTGCATGTGATTGTTAAAAAAGAAAATAACAAAAAAAAAAAACAGTCAGCCACCGGGGAGCCAGCCTAGCCACCATCCCAGGCCAGCCCCCTGCCGCCGGCCTCCCTCCCCTTCCCCTCCTTCCTCCACAACCCCACCTCTGTCCTTCCCCGCGTTTTTCAGCGTGGTAGCGGTGGTTTTCTAGGTGCTCGGGAAAAAGAACAAGTAGGCATGAACATTTTTAAGCTTAAAGAAGACAACAATGGAGAAAACTCCATTGAAGCTAACGTATGGAGTTCATGGCATAATGAAAACCTAATCATTTCCTCACCAAAATGCATGAAATTTGTATCAAAATGCTCATAATCCAACGTATATTCATTTGGTGCAATGAATTACAAGAGTGTCCTAACCAAACAAAAAGCACCTAATTGAATTTTTTTAGAGTTCTTAACGAAAATCGGAAAATTTGAGCATATAAAAAGGGCGGTGGCCGTGAGGGGAGAAAGAGAACGGTGGTGTTGCCATTTTCCCCCACCCCTAAAAATTCCATTTTCCTTGGTGGTTTTTGGGGTTTTGGCTGCGATATCCTTGGTGGTTTTTGGTTTTTTGGCTGCGATTTTGGTGGTTGCGTGGGGAATGGGAGGGGGGTTTTGGGGAGGGGAAAAACGGCGACGCCAAGGTTAGGGGAGACGCGGCATTCCGACGAGGGAGGGGCGGTGGGGGAAGGGGAAGCTTGCTTGGTTTTCTTATTTTTTATTTATTTTTATTACAATTTGATTTTGACACGTGTAAAATAAACTTATTAAAAAAACTTACCTCTTTAACCGGTTACAAGTCACCCGTGACCATTTTGAGCGGATTGGGTATAAAGGTGGGATTATTTAAAAATATCCCAAAGGTGGGATTATTTAAAAGAAACGCCTCAAAGGTGGGATTATTCCCATGAATTTTTCCTTATTTTTAAGGACAATACCAATACAAACACACACTGAGTTACTGTCTCGCACCTTGTCACGAAGTGAGCTATGTATTACAAGCCCGTTTAACATGATTAATAGAGAGATTTTTTTTTTTTTGAACAAAGAGAGATTAACAAAATACATACTATTTAACTTCATATCATCATAGACAATAAAAATGAATGTCCCGTGAAATTATTTTAAGCAAGGACGGACTTGTTAAACATCGCCCGCGTTTTTCTACATAAAGCCCACATTTTTTAAAAATTTTGACATTCTTGCCCTTGTTTTAATTTTTACCGAAAACGATAATTTTTCACTCACCAAAAATGTGGAGCAGGACTGGATCGCCGAGTGACACCGAAGAGCCCTCAACGTCGGCTAGATGCACCGGAGAGACGCCGTCGACGCCGGAAAACGAGGTACGAAGCCATCTAAAACCACGAATTGGCGGCTGGCGTCCTGCCGGGACGCCGCCACCGTAGCGGTGGCGTCTAGCCAGGACGCCGCCTCCGTGGATATGGCGCCTGGCCAGGATGCCGCCACCGTGGCCTTGGCGTCTGGCCAAGACGCCGCCACCATGGAAGCGGCGTCCTGGCCAGGCGCCATCGCCACGGTGGCGGCGTCCTGGCTAGGCGCCACTGATTTTTTTTTTTTTTTTTTTTTTTTTTTTTTTTAATTTAATTTAAAATTTGTTTATTTTTTTTTTTTTTTGTGTTACAATTTTTTTCCTTTTTTTTTGGTTTTTTTTGTTTTGTTTTTAATTGTTTTAAAATGTAATGTAAAATTTTGTGTTTGATTTTTGTGTTTTTGATCGCTATGTTTTTTATGTTTATGTTTTTTTTTTTGTTTTTATTTTTTTGGTTTTTTTTTTTTATTTAATCTAAAGTTTTGTTTATATTTTTTATTTTTGTGTTTTGTTTTTGTTTTTTTTTTTTTTGAATACTTTTTGTTTATGTTTTTTATTTCTTTGTTTGTTGTTTATATTTTATTATTGTTTTTGCTTTTGTGCTAATGTTGTGTCAAATGTATTAATTTAATCTAGTCTTATGTGATTATATTTATATGTTATTGTTGCAGGATTATGGTGGAGACGGAAATGATTATAGTGGGATTTTTGTACACGATGGTCTGTTCGAAGATGCTCAACAAGCGGTTGATTGGGCGAAACATGTTGCAATTAGATCAGGTTTTTGTTTAGTAGTAGCAACTCATAAATCTCAACGGGATGGTAGAATGGATCGCATTTTGAGATGCGACCGTTATCGCAAAAGGGAGGAACGAGATTTCAGTCAAGCGATTCGGTTTGATACAAAGCGGAAAGGTTGTAGGTGTCAGTTCAGAGTAAAGGTTCGACAACAGCAAAGGGGTGACGGTTGGGAAGTGAAGAGTTACGGTAAATGGGGGTATCACAACCATGAGATGATCGCATATGAAGTGGGTCATCGACAGTTAAGTGGCCTAAGTCCTGCTGCGAAACTAGTTGTAAAAGAAATGAGTGATGCTCAAGTGAAGCCTGCTAAAATATTAGCATCTCTGTTGGAGAAATTTCCTGAAGACCAGCCAAACCGAAGACACATCTACAACGTCAGACAGAAATTGAGGTTTGAACGGTCAGAGGGAAGGAACCCTATACAGCAGCTTCTACACCAGGCACAAGCATGTGGTTACCTGTACTGGTTTGGAACTGATGAAGACACATCGGAGGTGACTCATTTGTTCCTTGTGCATCCTGATTGTGCTGATATGATTTCGTCTTGGCCATCTGTGATTCTGATCGATTCAACGTACAAGACAAACAAGTATAAGTTTCCACTGGTTGAGATGGTTGGGATGACTCCAACGAACCAGAACTTTTTGATTGGTTATGCAGTTATGAAGGATGAGACGGTTGCGAGTTACCGTTGGGTGTTGGAGAAGTTGAGAAATTACATCGGCCCAAATGTTCAGCCATCGGCCATTGTCAGCGATTGTGAGGGAGGTCTCTTTGCCCCTATAGCGGAGCTGTTTCCGGAGTCGAGCCATTTACTGTGCACATGGCACATCAACAACTGCGTGAAAGTCAAAGCCTACAACCTTTTCAACAAGAACTTAGATTCAGCAGAGAGATTGGTAAATGGTAAGTGGCGGAAGATCCTGCAAGCTACCACGGAGGCAGAGTACGACCGAGCCTTGGATAACTTCAAGGATGCATACCAATGGTGCCCGACAATCGTAGACTATGTGATGCAGCAGTGGGTGCCTCAGAGGGAAAAGTTTGTCAAATATTGGACAAACCAAGTTCTTCATTTTGGAAACACTACTACATGTAGAGTTGAGAGCGCTCATAGAGCTCTGAAGGATTGGATTGATTCTTCCACCTCTGCTCTGGATACACTGTTCGAGAGAATAAACAAGGCTATTGATACTCAGAGGAACGGCATCAAGAACTCTCTCGAGGACTCCAGACGGCGACATGGCACGATGTATAGCCATTTCATATTTAAGATTCTCCATGGTCGTGTGTCACACTACTGCTTGGGGTTGATTCTGAGCGAGCACACCAGGATGAGGGAGTTGGGTGATGAAGTGGCTATTCGGTGCGGATGTGCTATATCGGTGACTCATGGACTACCTTGTGCATGCACCATTCACCGCGTAATTACGCAAGATAGGGCGTCGTTACATGTTGATCAGGTTCATCCATTCTGGCGGACGCTCGTTATCGGAGAGCATGCTGTTTCACAGACAGTCAACCGTGAACAGGAGGAGTTGGAGCAGTTTCGTTCGATGTTTGACCAAGTGTCCTCCAGCCACCCTTCAATCATTCGTAGTGCTACCCACGTACTTCATGACATGTTCAACTCGTCGTGCTTGGATCATGAGGAACCTGAGGGGGTCGAGCGACCACGGGGCCGACAACCACGGCGGGAAAGGAGTGCGTTTGAGTACATTCGTGGTCGTGGTCGTGGTCGTGGCCGTGGTCGTACATCGTCATCAAGTGGTAGTCAAACTTCTTCGTCGGTGAATATGCCCGGCACTGGTACGGTACTTTAGTTTAATTTACTTTTTAGAGTGTTTGTTTAGTTTTCTGCTGACTTGTTAACTGTGTTTTTTGATGTGTGCAGCAGGTAGAATGGACATTGAACATTTTCCATATAAAGACAGGATCCCTAACATCATGATGCCGTTCCTGGACGGGTGAAATGATGTGGTTGCAGATGGTAACTGCGGATTTCGGGTTGTGGCTGATGTGTTTCAGATGGGTGAAGACAACTACGGTTTAGTGCGTCAGTTGATGTACAGTGAAATCGCCTCAAACCGAGCTGTTTATCGTCGCGTGTACGGACAGGACTTGGATAGGTCTCTGCAGCGTATCCGGTGGGGAGGAGGACCTTGCGGTCAAAATCATTGGTTCGACACGCCACTTGATCTCTTCGCCGTTGCAAACATCTACAAGTGTACAGGTGGAACAATCTAGTTGCCTTTTCTATGTGACCTTCTATTGTTATTGCTATGTTTTTCCCATTTATTTAATTTTCGGATTCTAATTTTCGTATTTAGTTTTCCCATTTATATGTGAACTTGTATTTAATTTTCGTATGCCCACTAATTACAACTTAAAATAAAAATTATAAAAACTAAAAATATAATGTCAAATTCTAAGAACTTAAAATAATAATTATAAGAATAGATAATGTTAACTTTTACAAACAACTAGGAAAATGTTATATAAATGCACTGCCGACATATCAATAATCTCTCTGTGACGCCCACTGCCACTGCTCAAGGGCCCGTTCCAGTTCATCAATAACAGCTCTGCCTGTTGCAGTCGTCATGTTGTCCCTCTCCTCAAAAAGTCTGTGTCCCAACTGCGTCATCTTTCCCATCCACTACACATAACAAAACACATAAAATTCAATAACGACGTATTATATGAAAAAAAACACAACTACAAATGTTTTATGAGACGTACCGCATCCACGGCAGTGGGCGGTGGCACATCATCATCATCGACGTCGTCGCCGTGGTGGACGTCTCTGATCAACCTCGGGTGCGAGTGCCGGTTGTACCACTCCATGTAGTGCTGGTCACACATGGCAGCCACCCCAGTTGGCGGCCGCTGCAGCTGCTCAATCCATATGCGGGCAACCATCGGAAACTGCTCCCACGTGCCAATCATGCTTGCCGGCCATTGGACGACGTACTCCTTCGACGACGCAGATCGGATGGCCTTACTGAGCCATGCTGGTGGAGGAGGAACAACTTGGACATATCCAAGCTAGCGAAGACAGCGCTGCGGCATGTACGCCTCTACGATCTCACGATACTGAATCAGTCCCGTGTAGAGGGTCCTGGGTACCCTATTACTAGGGTTCTGGCCGAAAGGCATCCAGTTCACCTGCACATTTTTTAAAATTAGTAAGATTCATACAATAAACACATCAAACTATAAAAGTAGAAATAATTTAAACACTTTACCTCTAATGGGGACATCCTGTCAAGCAATAACCGTATCGATCGCAGGCGGTCAATGGACTTCTTCTCGACACGCGGACTCCACGCACAGGCACGTGGCTGGCCATCCCCAATAGGAACCGGGTCGCGGTGTGGTCGAAACGCCGGGAAATACTCGTATATCCACGTCTGTAACAACGTCATACATCCAGTGATACCTGCCGCATCAGCCCGGCTCGAGAATCCTAACTGGCGATACATGTACGCTAATGTAGCCGACCCCCAAGAAAACTGGCCTACTCTGTCGGGCTCACACGCGTCAACTATGTCGCGTGGCCTGAGCTTGTTTCCGCTCTTATCCGGAAACAAGGTACACCCGAGAAGAAGAAAAACATATGCAGCCAGTTGTGTGTCCTGCGTCCTACGTGAAGTGGGGTGCAAACATCGCTGCAAAACTGCTGCGATCTTAACACCGCCGTGATCCCACACACCAAGTGCCGCTGTGTACAGCGCAGCCCTATCCACCGCCAACAGCTCCGCCAGTATATCTGCCTGATCCGCATCTGTGACAACAGATGCTCGGTTTCCCTCTACGGGAATCCCAAGGATGGCCTCGACGTCATGCAACATGATCGTCATCTCACCGAACGGAAGGTGGAAAGAGTTCGTGTCCGGCTGCCATCGCTCAACGAAAGCCGTGATCAGCGTCGAGTCAATCCTCTCATGCATGGTGGCAGGAAGGTGGCTCACTCTAGTGCCCCTCAATCGGCCGACCATCTCGCTCTCCTCCGGCCAAGCCTCAGCCCAACTACACAAGAAGTTACAAGTCCTCTCCCGGGTTTGGCATTTCAAAATGCCGCTATCCAAAGCCCGCTCTTGGTCCTCCCAAATACGGGTAGCGATGTGTCCTAGAAAGCTAGGAATCACACTCCCGTCTATAGGTCCCCCAGCCACCTCGCCCCTCACCACCCAAGAATCATTAACGGCCCTCGACCGTTTTCTGCTAACCGCAGACATAGTGGACGCAGATGATGTGCCAGATCTACTAACAAATCTACCATCTCTACCCTTACGCACGTCTACCCTACGCGTCTCATACACATCATCAAGCCTCTGACTGAATGGACCGTAATCATCATATGGTCCACTCTGATCGTCCACATCCTCATCTGCATCCTCCTCCTCCTCCTCCTCCTCCTCCTCCTCCTCCTCCTCCTCATCACCATCATCATCTTCATCATCCTCAGAATAGTGCACCCGTTCTCTACGAGCCGAGGCCGAAATACCACGGGATCTAACGTGTCTGGGCCCCGAGCTCTCCATTGAGTTGATCGTACTTCTCATAATGTCCATACTCTTCCCAGCCCCAGAACGAAAATACGATGCCTAACACAATTTAGATAACGATAAATAATAGCAATTGTTATTATTATTATTTATATTAATAATCTATTTTCAAAAGTATCAACAACAAAAAGAAAAGTACACAATATCGAAAAAACAAAATTAAATAAAAAACATGCAATATAAACATACAAATGACGCAATATAAACATGCAAAAAGTAATTAAAAATAAATAACAAAACACGCAATATAAACATACAAAAAAATAACAAAACATGTAATATGCAATATAAACATGTAATATAAACATAAAAAAAGTAATTAAAATAAATAAATAAAACAATATACATATGATGGAAAATAAATTAAAAACATTACAAAATATTAACAACCTAAAAATAAAAAAATTAATAACCTAATAAATAAATAAATAAAAAATTGGAAAAAACAAAGCAAAAAAAAAAATTACCCAAAAAAAACAAATTGGAAAAAACAAAGTAAAAAAAAAAATTAAAAAATAAAACGGAAAAACAAAAACAAAAAAAAGCAAAAAAAAAATTTGAAAAAATAATTCAAAAAAAAAATAAAAGAAAATGAAAAAAAAAAAAATTAGGGTTCCGGCGCCTGTCCCAGACGCCAGAGCCACGGTGGTGGCGCCTGGGCAGGACGCCGGTGCCACGGTGTTGGCGTCTGACGTGGACGCCGTCACCGTGGCACCGGCGCCCTGCCCAGGCGCCATCACCGTGGCATTAGCGTCTGGGACTGGCTCCGGAACCGTGGTGGAGGCGTCTGGGCCAAACGCCGCCGCCCAGTCGCCGCCGTCCAGCCACCAGTCGCCGCCGGGCCGCCACCTTTTCCGGTTTTTTTTTTTTTTTTTTTTTTTTTTATAAAAAAATTAACAAAAAAAAAAAACATACCTTTCCTCCTCCAAACCCCCTTGCTCCGGCCACCGGTGCCGCCACTTCCTTGCCTTGCCGCCTCGACATTTTTAAAAAATATTTTAGAGAGAGAAAGTGAGACTACAAAGTTAAGAGAAGATGAGAGTGTGTTTTTTACTAAAGTAGAGAGAATATAATTTTAGTTCGAGGGCAAAAGAGTCATTTCACTTTTAATTTGTGGGCTTTATGTGGAGATTTGCGGGCGATGTTTAGCAGTTCACATCTAGAAATGTAATATGGAACGGGCCAAATTTCTATATCATATTCATAAGTTCAATTTTAGATTGCTATAGCAAAGAATTAGGAATATAAGAATAAAGATACATTGAGCAATCTATAGTTTCGATCTCTAATCCCAATAATTAAATGGACAATTGTGCTACCAACTCAACCAAATTATCTTCAATGTATTTGGGTGCAGCTTAAATGTATTATACTTATTTTTGGATCATGCATGGGCGGGCCACCCCCTGGATCCGTCTTTGATTTTAAGGGACAATATCAATACAAACATACACTGAGTTACTACCTCGCACCTTGTCACAAAGTGAAATATGGTATTACAAGGTCGTTTATCATGATTAATAGAAAGATTTACAAAAGATAAACTATTTAAATTCACATCAACATAGACAATGAAAATGGGAGAAAAACCGTTGTTGTATCTTGATTGCAGTCACCATAGTCGATGCATCACTCTCCCATGCCACATTTTGGTACCCAATTTCTTTGCAACGTGTAATCCATGCCTCACTGCAAGAGCCTTAGCATGCTCATGGGAAATTGCCCGCATCCTCTTTGCTGCACACACTAAAATCTGCCCATCCGAGTCTCTTAGCACAATTCCAAGACCCATTGTCCCGTCTTTTCCTTTGATTTGAGTCGGTTATGCTTTCGGGTTTTGGCTACCCGCACGAGGTTATAATTACTCACTTTTATACTCTTTTATTGGTCTATCATCTTATATTGCTCTATACAAAACACTTCATATTTTCAAGTGTTATAGACTTCGGTGTATATAAGTGGGAAAATGTTTGGATGTTTTTCTGACATGAAATAATAGGGAGAGATAAGTGGGGACAGCATATCAAAAATCGTATAGGCACACTAATAGGGATAAATTAAAATAAAAGAAAATCGCGGTAGGAAAATTTCATACCCTTTATAATCCTTCTTTGACATGTATACTAACAACAAATGTGACTAGCTTTAAGAAACAAGACGAGGTTTTGAACATTGGATGTTAGTAATACATTTTTTTTGTTAAAGCCATAGATAAATAACCACTTGTAAAATAAATTCAACTAAACTTCACTTGTGCTATATATTTAGGAGTACTTACAGTGCATACAAATACAAACTTGTGTGCGTATGTGATTCACATACTTAGGATGTGTTCTATACACATTCATCTTATATTCATCATCGTATTCGTGGTCTATATCATATTTTTAAGGAAATGTTGGGAATCTTGGGATGAAATGTCCTTTCATGGGAGATGATTGCTTGTGAACTCTAACTAATGATGAAGCGAAAAATCATCTCTATAATGTGAATTTAGCATATTGATATTTGATTAATATCTCATGTGATATCATGAAGTTTTAAATAATTTGATCTCCTTACTTACTTTCCATATTTAGTGAATACAATAATATCCTAAAATAATTCTTAAACACTTGCTCATACGACAACTAATACCATCACCAATACGCCGTCAATTTTTACCTTGAGATGGAATTTCTCTCTGATGTTTTTCATGTCAGGTTGTTTTTCTCTGAAGACGAGGTCGATGATGACGGCATGCTTGGTTTTTGCAAAAAAAGGACTCTCACTAAGATTTCACCTCTGACACTTAACATTGCTTTCAAGTTTCAACATTGAGCTGTGACTATTCATCTATGTTCAAAATATTGAAGTACGTTTTGATTTCTATAAGCTTCAATTCTCCGAACATGTAGTGATCAACTGATAGTTGTTGAGTGTGATAATTCAATTCTATTATTTAATAAGACTAGAAAAAATAATGCTTAGATTTTGTACACTACATCTCAAAGAGAAAGTGTCCTGTTGATTGGGATTTAATTTGGTTGTGCAGCATCTGTTTTACTTATTGTAGCAGCTTTCTTATTACCAAGTAGTCTTACTTATTTCTGTATATGCTACAGCTCCTTTCAGAAAGTCCCTCCCTAGGGTCATATTGTACTTAATTGATATTCTTACCTTTGAATTTAAAAAAGAATCATCAATCTTACCTCCTACACGAAGAACGTACGTATTAATAAGATTCTCCTTTTTTTTTGCCTCTCTTTATCTCAATGTACTACGTATATGGTTTCCTTCATTATGCAAAGCTTGTTACAGGTAGGAACAATTGGACTGATGATGTAAATGTAAATCAACTTTTGGTAGTCTAATGGTTGATGTATCTTAGATTGAAAGTATGTACTCTGAGTTCCGATAGTCTCAAATTAATTGTTTACGTTTATTACTAAACTAGAGCATCAATACTTTCACAATCGCATCCAAAGCTATAATATCAACTAAAGATCACAATCAAATGTCAAGTTTCATACAATTAGTTTTATATATACGTCTTAATTATAACCATATCATTGATGAATTTATAATTATTGTCAAAAAGTTGTAAAATCCTTAAACATGGTTAAAAAAAAATAGTAGATAGATTACAACGAACATATATTCAGTAATAAATGGGAACGTTTTCTTTTATACCTCAATAGTACCACCCTTATAACAACTAACACAAGGAGGCATAATAATACAACTTAATTTTCATCAAAGATCAAATAACAAGGCATAAACTTATATCGGCACAATGGACAAGTATTCTTCCCCTCAAGAATCCAAAACACCAAACACTCTCCATGAAAAACATGAGAGCAAGGAAGAAACGCGCCTTCTTGTTCACAATCATCATTAGACTTATCAAACTCCTCCAAGCAAATCGAGCAACCCCTCAATTCTTTTTCATTAATCATAGGCCTAAAGATCCCCTTTGTCCGTAGGAAACTCTTCACTTCCATCCTAAGTTCTTCATCTATATTATAATCCTTGTTCATATCTTCCTCGAAATTATTATTGTTATTACCAACTTCCTCAATATCCATATCCATAGCCTCGGCCACCTTGACTATTCTAACAGTCAATGCAAGAGAAGTACGTGTTTTAGCTACAACATCTTGAAGAAGTTCCTCACAACTTTGTTCTATCGCTTCATAAACACACTCATCAGCATATTCATCCTCGTAAAGTTCTCCAAGCCACTCCTTAACTTCCAATTCTGTAAGCTCATCTTCGAAATCAGTATTTCTATCTAACACATGCGTAACAATTTTTTCTCCGTTAGGGCTGCGGCTATCATTATAACATATATGGATTGTAAAGAAGTCGTTCGAGTTTGAGGTTGAGGTTGAAGTAGACTCATCATCAACTGCCCAAGATAACACTTCATATCCAGATATTGACCTTGAATACAATAAGGAGGAATTCATGGTTTGGGTGGTTATTTTTTGTGGGTTTTCAGTTTTCAGGAATAAAGATAATTTCAAGTGTATCTAACCTGTATATGTATAGAAAATGCTCAAAACAAACCCTTAAAAAAGAACTTTTCTTTATACACAAGGAATTTCCTAAATTATGTCTATTATATATTTCCAAATATCATTAGTTGGAATTCTATATAGATTTTGTATATCTCTCTTATTTTGTATATCCAATCCTAATTCAATTCATAGCTACAAAAACAAAAAATATATTTCCAAAATTAGCTGTAAAAAAAATAAAGATAATCGGCTAATAAGATGAGTGTAATAAGATAGAGATAGTGTGTTTTCAAAAAAAAAAGATAGAGATAGAGAAAATAGCTAGGAATGTCGTTTAGGACTACGGCTAATGTGTGATTTTTTATTTTATATTGTTTCAAATAGCGCACCCAAATCAATCAAACTCGGGTAATTATAATTATTGAGTTGCAATATTATACTTACTTACTTAACTGTAGGCGGTTAAATATAGGGTAATTCCTTGTTTCTCAAATTGATTAACAAGTTTTGTTTCTCATATTGATTAACAAGTTTTGTTTCTCATTGAGTATGTGTCAAGATATGAGAGGTTATCTGCAACATTTGCCAAAAACGGATGCTTTTATTATCTGCAGCAAATTTATTTATTTCCTTTTTGGGTTATATTTAACTATCAATTACCCACTATTACCCACTTTTTTGGTTAGTGGTCCCCTCCACCACCTATTACCCACTAACTAAAATCCACTACAAATATTTGTATTCACACTACAAATACCAAATATACCCTTATTTTTCAACAATTAAATGTTTAGTTTATATATATCATCATATGGGTAATTTTTGTATTTTTACCTTTCTCTCTCATTAATTAAACCCACCAAAACTAAATTAACACTCCCTTAAAAGTTTTTCCTAGGAGTCCGTATTTATGTCTTTTGTTGCACATAACTACGAGCGGAGGAAGTACATCGCATTAGTTGATTATCAAACAGTGCCATTATTAGCTAGAATTCACTTTTTTATTTTTAAATGATGATACTGAGTATATAATGATATACTTGTATGAATGATATAGTGATATACAAGTTAATTAAAAAGAATCATGACTAAAATTAAAATTTTATTTTCCTAATAATATTCACTCCCTTATCTATTCTCATTCTTATAGGAGTAAAACTGCATGAAGCCACAACCTTTGCCAACCTGCAAAATTAAAACTTAAAAAGAAGAGAAATTATTTTTGAAGATGGGTAAATCTTATAGGAGAAGAAGTTTATTCCGAGAATATCAGAAGAAAGCTGATTTACTGGTGTGATCTGTTAATTACAAATATTATAGTTAGGAAACACACACTGTTACAATGTATGTCAAAGGCCTACATAACTCTAATTCTTTACTATCCACACAATGTACAATGTTTTATGAAGAAAAGAGAAAAAATTCCTGTGAGTAATTGAGCTAAACGAAAAAATCTCTGTACAATTGTACATCAAGTGAAGGAAATTGTACGGCATCTTTTAAATGGCATTCTTGAGGCCAAGCTTCACATTATGGACTTTCACTGATAGTAGTTGTTTGTGATCCTCAATGTCCTTCAAAACTGAAAGCAAGTTGGCTCGATAAACTTCACACTTTCGGTTAGCTGATTCTAGCTCCTCACTAATTTCTCTGATTTTCTGGTCCATGCAGTCCTAAGTAAAAATTGCAGAGAATGAATTAGATAGTTGAGCAAGTTCTGATTGCTTCAAAAGTGTGCCTATTGCTTAATATGTATCAAATTTAAGTTCCCAGCACATTTAGTTGCATACAAAAAAAGACAAAGACTTGCTTGTATATTCTCGTATATATCTTAGGTTGAGACTTTAGGGAGCACATGGGTTGTTACAACCGTTAACAAATATTTGCATTTCTCTTAGGTTGAGACTTTGCGAAGCTTTTCCATGTGCTAGTTTCAACTGTTCAGAGCCTCAACTTTTACCATTGATGCAATGCTACATTGTCATGTATGTCCTTTGTTGCTAAGAGATCATGTACACCATTCTAGACATGTCAAGTTGTCAACACAACAGCTTCTTTAAGATATATAAGTAGAATGTGTTGTTAAGAAAGATTGTTCATCTGAAAGATTCACCTATTATTCCAATGCATTAGAAAACTTTTTTTCCTATGAAATTGTTTTTGTGACAACCCTGAACAAAAGAGGCATGTTTTCCTAATTGCCTTTCATAATTTTATCTATCATGCAATGTTTGGTGCTTCAGTACTTGAGTTTGATTGTCATGTTGATGATTCTGTCTAAACACAAATCTAATTGGTTGAACACTTAGAACTGTTGTGAAAAGGATTCTGGTACCTGCCATCTTTGTACATATGTTTTTGGACAAACATCTTGTGTATTTATTGTTGAAGTGTGATTCTTATCGTTAACTTGCTGATAATGCCATAGAATATCTCTAGGAGAGAACTTCTTTCATGGATACTTACCATGGCTAGCTGCTAGTAGCATTTCTAGATTGAGATGGTCAGTTGGACATTAGTTTCTCTATCCTATCTGGCTTGACCCTCTGAAATTGAAAGCTCTGTGACGGGTACTTTGCTTGCTTATTCTGACTTATCTCTCGTAGTTGCACATAAAGGGCCTCCAGGCGAGAAACGGAGTGAGCGGATGAAGTTATGTAAAAGAAAAACTGATCCCCTGGTGTAGTACAGTCCCTGGCTGGATCTTCCCTTATTAAAAATGTTTCGCATTTAGAACTAACAGCCTTTGCAGACACTAACTTAAGTTGTTGCCTTTACCTTCATTTCTTGTTATGTAATCTTTACTCATACAGGATCAGCTGGCCTAATTCAAATTTACTATGTAGTATTTCATTTTGTTACTTCATATTTTCAGTGGTTCTGCATCATTTGGAATAGCAATAATTTCTTTGTTTGTTCATGTTTTGTGTTTACATTTTTCAGTCAATACCTTGTATTTCTACTATGCTTTTATATCATCATATATTTTTTTTCATGCTTTTCCTTTGTTATTTGTCTTGCCTTAGTAAGTTAGTAACTTATTCTTGCTGCTGACCTATGGAGCTTTATGCCTTAATGTTTGCTCTTACTTGTGTAGCCACATCTTCAGAACATTGTTGGTGCACAGATTGAACACCAGGTGTACTTGGTGCAATCACAGGTATCTCATAATATAGCTGTAATTAAAGCATGTTCTTTTAATTATCCTCCGTCACTCAGCAGCATATATGGTATCATCCATTTCCATTCTCTATTTGATGTTCTGCTTAACTAGTAGGATCTTTCCCAGCATAATTAATTTTATTACAATGGAGAATTTAGAGCTTCTTCGCTCAATTTAATTAATAACATCTCTAATTCTTATGGTAAAGTCTTGTTAGTACTATACCAAAATAGGAACGTATGAAAATCTATAAACTTTAGGATGCTGCATCGTGTGTTTTAAAGGAATTCTCAGTTTCTTCTCCTCCCTTCCCTGGGTGATTTTATGCCATCTTTATCCTTGTATAATTGATTTCTTCAATGAAAGCTTACATTGTATCGGAAAATAATCTTGGAGAATTTCTTATGTAGAGTTCTTATGAAGAATTTTAGAAGAGGTTAATGATATTCTTCTAAATGAAGTAAAGTTGAATGTGCTTCTATGATGCATGGATATTTGGAGTTTAGACTTCTTGTTTTCAGTAATGAGCTTGATTTGTATTATGAACATATTAGTTATTATATGCCCCTTATTTGGATCTTAAATTGTGACACTGTCCCTGCAATCTCAATTTCCCATTAATCATTCACTATGATGTGACTAAATTTTTCATAATTATACATTTTCCCTCCAGCACATACTTGGTTAAAGCAGGGGCATCTTTGGAACTCTAATCATAATATATCTTTACTCCTAATTTAGAAAGAGTAACTGTTGTTTTTTCCCAGACATCCCAATATAATATACATGACTTGTATTTCCTGACAGTGTATTTTACTATTTGTACATATTAGGAAAGTGTTAGGGTAAGAATTAGGAAAGTGTTAGAGTAAGAATTAAGAATAATTTATGACTAATGTTATCTGCCATTGTCTTAGAACTTTAATGAATTTTGTTTTCATAATACTCCATCTTTTTAATTAACTTAGTTAATGTTATGCAAATTGAGAATATAAAGTGAGTATAAGAAAAACGGACAAAGTAAAAGAAAAAAAGTTGGTCCGTAAAAAGGTAGATAAAGTAGTTTGAATATTCAAACTTATGTGCATAACCTTACAATGTACTCTTTTCAGTCTTTTGTATCATTCAATAATTGCATAAGTTGATATGGTTCCAGTTCATTTCTTTTCATTTCACTGCCTTGGATTAATTTAGATAATTCTATCTAGTTTGTCCTTTTCTTGAATCAACCACATGCCATAACATTTATTTAACATTCACAGCAACTAATCTACTGAGTTTCGTCTAATACAATAATCTGTGATCCTTTTCTAACTTCTACGAGGTCTTGATTGCTCTGCAGCTCTGCTAGTTTTGCTGGTTATAATGTCTTGCTTATTATCAGCTGGCAAAGACATTTTTATTTTGCTCCCGACCTTCAGGTATCCAACTCACTTTTCTGTTCGATTTATGGACTATTAGCCATTGTTTTTCATCAATCCATCTACATCTGTATGTTTGTGCAACGAGATTTTATCTGGTGTGATTATGTGTTTGCTTGCTAATATATACTGGACTAGAGAAATCCGGGTGATGCTTGTGTGCACACCTGATTGATGACTAGATTGCAGCTCCTGAGTCATTGTTGCTGGTTCGATTGTAAAATATATTCTGAAAATTCATTGTGGAAACTAGGTGAACTTTCTGCCATGTCTTATTTTAAGAAGCCTAATAAAATTTGCAGCATTAGGTTAGTAAATGCTTGGTTTTTTCAAAAAAAAAAAAACTCTCACTAAGATTTCACTTC